TTGACAAACTATTGTTTTGCGACAATGACTTCAAATCATGAAAATTTTTCCATCGATCGAGCCGTAGACGAAAAATCAAAAAATGTTTTGAACGGATGGTTCATCTCTAGCAAGCAAAAAACCACTCTGACGGACCGTGAAATGAAAAGAAGAATAGCGATTGGCATAATTTTGGAGAAGAAAAAAGCATAGTTTAAGTTGGTAAAAAAACAAATGTCTGCAAAAAAATTGGGTAACAAAAAATAAAATCCTCAAGAATAAATCAAAAAAAAATTACTAAATTTCTTTCAGGAGAAACAAAAAAGAGCAAAACGCATTAAGCAATTATTTAAAATATTCTAAAAAATATGTTGCGGAGAATATTGAACACTAATTTGCAAAACGTACTGCTTATATTATCGATAAAAATAAGTTTTAGGGCAGGCGTAAAAATCAATATTTCTAATTGATTAAAAACGAATTGTGATAGTGTAAACGGTAGAGCATTAAATACACTTTAATTTGATGTTTTAATATTGTACAAAATTTTTAGATGGCAGTGAGACCTGAAAACTTAAATTTGAAAAAAAAATTCAATTACCTGAAATATTTTCTACGTGATAAAATTCTTTGATTTTTCTCTGTGGTATTTGTGAAAACAGAATAATGATAAAGGTGATAGGTTTGAATAATTAACATTTTAATATTAAAAATCTGAAACTTGGAATAATTTATGGGGAGGTTGGCGGTAATTGGTGATCAGACCAGAATTTCTTGAAAAAAAAGTCCGTAATGATATTTATGACGACCCGGGCTCTTTTGTGAAGCCTCCGTTTTATTGTCAATGCATTAGCAGACCATCATCTTAAACTTGGCTATAAATTACCAGAATTCCCAATTTTCAATATTAAAATATTAATTACTAAAAATCTATTATCCTTTATATTATTCAATTTTTACAGTTACTATTACGAAAAAATCAAGAAATTTTATCATGTAAAGAAAAATCCTTTTCTTAAGACCTACTAAAAATTTTATTACTTTTAAGTTAAATGCGGTATTGTTAAGAGTAAACCAGAGGGTAAACAAATCATAAATTAGTGGAACTCACCCGGACCTAGAAACCAAGGAAACAGGTCAGTTTTTAACAGGGCCGGATTATTTACTTTCTTTTTGTCTAAAATACTTAAAATATTTTAATAGTTTTTGATGTATTCAAGTATTTTAAGAAATTTAAAAAAGCCAGGTGGTTATTAACAAGTTATTAAATAAAGCAGTTTTTTTTTAATAATAGCTTGGTAAAACTTTATCACTACTTTGGTTTTAAATACGGCCCTGTTTTATTCTGGTGGGTGCAGCAACACTTGCAAAGGAACGTGCCATTTATGGAGGGTTACAAATTCAAGCCACTGTGTGGTTAATCTCTTATAATGTGTCATAAAATTTATAGTCGGTTTTAGGAAAATGATTTTTCTTTTTTTATAAAAAAAATTACAATTAATTAAATTTTTTTTTCAAATTCGGTTTTTAGGGTTTTACAGACATACGTTAATAATTTTGAACAATATTAAAATATCAAATTGAAGTCTATATAATCCTCTATCGTTAGCACTAGCAATTTTTATTTAAAACTTGGGACACCCTAAATATACTAGCTTAAGAAGTACAATTTTGTTAATATGTATTTAGTTCTATTTTTGTTTAAAATTTTTAATAATAAACAATAAAGTTGTGTATAAAATTTACAAAAATTGTTTTATTAACCAACCAATTTAACTCCACCCCTAAAATGGAAGGGATAATCTAATAAAAACTTTCTGCACTAAATATTGTTGTCATTTTTGTTTAGATTTCATTTAGAAATGTCTTTGTGCAACCATCAAAATTTTGCCATCGACGCAGAAGTCGATAAAAAAGTCCAACAAAATTTTGAGAAATTCGTCAAAGAGCAAATGGGAAAACTTCCACAAAAACATCAATTTGTGGGTGAAGAAATAAAACGAAAAGTGGCTGTTGGTCTAGTTTTAATCAACAAGGAAACGTACAAACTAGAGAAAAAAAGAAAAGCTGCAAGAAAATTAAAACGAAAACCTTTAGAAGAACGTGACCATGAAAACCAAAAAAAAAGTTTGTTGAAACAGTGTTTGTTAAAGCTGCACAAAGAACAAAAAAAAAGAGAGAAGAGGATCAAGTTGGGTAAGAAAGCAAGTCAAATTTAATACTCGTAAACACTTGTACATCTTGGTTTTGCAGCTAATAAATAAGATTTCAACAGGCCCAATTGTTGGAACACAATTTGCATCAATTATTAAATAATTAAACTGTAAACACACCTTATACATATTTACACATACTACATGTTATTTAATTTCTGAATTCATCTGTATTTTTTAAATAAATAAATTATTCTATTGCAATTTGATTTATTAATTCTTTACTAAAATTACTTCTAAAAGTGTAAAAGCATTTAATCTTCTCCTCACCCTTTAACAAGTAAAGTGAGAATTTTTCACTTTCATTTTTAGTGGCATTTGCTAAATTTTTATAATTAAAAAATGATTTTGTTTCAAATTCTTACCGATAATACAACAAAAAAGATTTAAATGATTTTTTTAAATAAGATATTTTATTTACAATGAATAAATTCCAAGATTTCAATATATTTTCAGAACACACAAAAGGTGGTAAATATTTTATTTAAACTGTCACATTAATAATATTATTAATACTAATAATCCGAACAGAAAGTTACCGGAGCTCCTGCGAATTAACTAAACGTTCGGACTATTGAACTCGTATTGTACATACATAGGTAGTACATACATACATATGTTATATCTACAATCTGAATATAATCTGGATTTTAGGCAGCATGTGAGAAAAAAAGGTTTATAATAAAGTTTTAAATAATAAAACATAAAATTGTTCTTCTTTTATTTTAAAAAAGGTAAATAGAAGTATTAATATAAATTATGTATTATTAATAATTACAGTAAATACTAATAAATTGAGGGCCGGTTTTTCAATCGTTGGTTAACCTCTAGTTAGTAGGTTTCTATGAAAATTTTTGCATTTAACCAATCAAAATGCTGCATTTTTAGTTTAACTAGAGGTTTAACTTTAATCAACGATTGAAAAACCGGCCCTAAGAAACTAAAAACTTATGCAAAGTGGTTTGGAAATCATTACTAGGCTTTAATTCTAGGGTTTTTTGCCGAATACTTCGTAATCTTGTAAAAGCAATTTGTTTTCTTATTTTCTTATTTATTCTTATTTTTACATTTGAAAATGAATTATGAAGAAAGTCCGTCACTAAAATTGAATTACCGCGAACGACTTATTCTAACACCGAAATAGAAAAATCATTTTACACAATCAAGGTGTTCGGATTACCGACGAATTCGGATTACCGAGAATTTGAATTACCAAGACATTACTGTATTACAACTACGTAAATAAATTGTTTGTAACAAATGATTTTATTTAGTTACATACATTCAGAGTAGAATAAAATGCATAATTTGAATATAAACGATTTTTGTAGAGAATTCTTTAACAGGTCGATTATTATTTTTCCTTGCGCATCATTTGACACATATGGTTTTTGTTTGTATGCTTTCTGAAATGCACAACCACCTATAACTTTTTTTTTAATGTACGTATTATTTGTTTTCTGATAATTTTCAAAGTCTACATAATTAAAAAATAAGAACAAATTCTTAAGTTAAATACTATTTATGCGCAAGGAAAAATCAAAATTGACCAGTTTCAGGATTTTTTACAAAAGTCGCTTCTATTCAAATTATGAATTTTGGTCCACTCTGTATATTACTAATAAATAAAAGTTAAATATTACCTACTTATGTTTTTTGTTATATGAGAATAATATTATATCTAAATAAGTTCTGAGCAATATTTTTTAATGATTTTTTTTTATATTTGCGTCTCACATTTCCTCCACTTTATTAACGGCCTTTATATTACGAGTATGGAATCGTCATTTTGATCTTTACTGAGTGTATACTAATATCATTTTGCTAAGACCTACTAAAAATTTTATTACTTTTAAGTTAAATGCAGTATTGTTAAGAGTAAACCAGAGGGTAAACAAATAATAAATTAGTGGAACACACCCGGACCCTGAAACAGGTCAGTTTTTAACAGGGCCGGATTATTTACTTTCTTTTTGTCTAAAATACTTGAAATATTTTAATAGTTTTTGATGTAGTCAAGTATTTTAAGAAATTTAAAAAAGCCAGGTGGTTATTAACAAGTTATTATTAAATAAATCAGATTTTTTTTTTTTAATAATAGCTTGGTAAAACTCTACCACTATTTTGGTTTTAAATACGGCCCTGTTTTATTCTAGAGGGTGCAGCAACACTTGCAAAGGAACGTGCCATTTATGGAGGGTTACAAATTCAAGCCATTGTTTGGTTAATCTCTTATAATGTGTCATAAAATTTTTAGTAGGTCTTACGAAAATGATTTTTCTATACATAATTACCTACTTATTATTAACGTGTTGCTTTTGAATCAATTTTACACATTTGATTGTTTTTAAAATTAAGCATAATCGGACTGATGACTGATATCCAAATTAAAACGTAATGACGATTTATTTTTAAAATAAAAATTCTTCTAAATTCACATCATACCTAGGTATAAAAACTTTCCTTTACCTTTTGGAGAAATCCACTAGAAATCATACTAAAAGTTGAGTTAAAATTATTCTTTAAACTTTCTATAGAAAGTGATTTAACACTAAAGGATATAAGTTGTTACCTGCACCATGTTTTCCAAGGATTAAGGATTGTTTCTCTAATCCATGAAGACATAATTTTAGAAAACAAATTATGATTTCCAAAGAAAGATTTATTTTCTCAGAAAACTTTTAAGAAGAGTAAAACTATTATCAACAAATACTGTAATAAATCTGTTTACAAATGAAATAAAAATTATCCCCACTGCTACTACCCTTTCGAAGTTCATCACTTACAAATTACCTCTCAGTTTTAAAGATGTCTTCTTGTGAGCACACCAATTTTATCATCGATCACATGGTTGACAAATATGTGAAACAAAATTTTGAACGGTTTCTAAAATCTCAAACTGAAAAAATTATGCAGCACCGTGAAGACAATTTAGATGTCACAGACATAAAAAATATGGCAATTGAAGCAATTTTTGACAATAAAGAAGAGGTTAAATTGGCACTTAAGAAAAAAGCAGCCTCTAAAGCACACAGGAGAAAATTCGAAGATGAAACCGTGATGAAGAAAAATCCAAATATATTATTGAAGCAAGCCTTACTCACAGCTCAGTTGAATGTTATTGATAAAAAACAATTGAGAAAGTAAGTCATAATTATTAGTTTATTTTTACATGTTATAAAACGTTTTGTAGGTAAACTAAAGTCAAAATTTGAGTTTTGTGAATTGTATATACTAAATTTTGTAGTTTTGTATCGAGCGATCAAGATAATTTGTAATCGAGTCATCTTTGCATCCGAGAACGTATGTCTAACTGCACGTGAAACGTCAAATAAAATGACAAGTTGAAAGGTAAAACGGCAAAATGGACTAGAATTAGTCGCCAACGTATAATAATACGAGTAAAACCGCTTTTTTTAAGGTAAATTATAAATTTAGTTATTTTAATCATCACCGGTTTGATCATGCCATTTTACCTTTCGACTTGTCATTTTACTTGACATTTTACAGACATACGTTTTCGGATCCAAGGATGACTCGATATAAATAATCTTGATCGCTCGATATAAATAAAATATTTTGTACTTATTTTAATAAAAAATGTTTTCAACACAAATCTAAAGTGTAATTTATTCTAGTATTTCGTCGCAATGTCTTTGCCCTTTTTTCCCAAATTCATCAGTTATTTCTTATGTTTCAAAGTAATTCCCTTGTCCCCACTTTTCAATAAATTTGCATAATTTCGAAGAGTTGTGCCGAGTTTCAAATTATGGAATATTAAGTGTTCTTTGTTTGATGATAATTTAAAGTAAAATAATTTCTCGAAAACTCCGCCGAAGCCAAGTGAATTATCATTATTTAAATGCTCCGTTTGAAACAAACTCCACACAATTGCCATTTTATACAATTAATTTTCATCTGATAAACCATCTCGACCCAGCAACAACTCGACTTTCTCCTTTCCTAATAAACCCCAAGTTTATCAACTCCTCGCCATTTTGTATACATGTATTAGAAACAGTCTGCGATTTTTAACATAGTTACCTACAGTATGAACAGACGCCAATGTCAGCGTCTGCAGTAATTGTTTCATGTAGAAGATATCATCTCCCTGCAGAGTATTTTTATAAGAAAGTTTTTCAATTTCACGCCCTGTCCAAGTCGCGCAATAAAACTGTAACGGGAAATCTACAATTCCGGTAACGGGAACGGGAAATTTATCGTTGCATTTCTAAAGGAGAGAGCGAGAACAGCCCAGATTCGAAGCTCGTAAATCAGACATCGAACGACTTTAATATCTCGATATGATATGATTACCTACTATGGTCTGTGCCTTATGAAAGGTCGGGCAAATCGGACGAGATATAGAAGGGAAATAAGCAGCTTTTATTTAATCCCGGAAATGCCATTCCGACGCCACAATTTTGCTATTCACTACACTCACATCCAGCGGAACACTTTGCCCCGACAAAAATATTGCGCACATTACCCAACTTTTGGAAGCCTGATCAAGAAGAGAGTCTTATTTATTTACTTCCGGAAGGATGGGATGCTTTTTTACGCTGACGGAGATGGAGCGCCTGCTGCACCTAATAACCATTTTTAAGACGGTTTAAACTCTTTACGGAGGGATATTTGTCAGAAAAATTTGTCGTAAAGCCCGAATGGATATATATTTTATTTCTACGCTGCCAGCAACATTGTTATAGTGTTGTTTAAGAGCTTCTGTTTATATGAGCACTTCACTCCATTGTGTTTCTTTCACTTCAATGACAAACCAAATAGACAACACAAAACATATCCTACATATAGCTAATTTTTTGAGGTCTATTTGGTTATACGTAGACAATCGATATATTACTTTCAATGTAAGAATGTCATACTGAAAAAACAAAAAATCGCAGCGCTTCGTTAGGCCCAACCATACCTTTAGAAAAAATAAAAACAAAAAGTAAAAAAACCATAAATGTAAAGAACGAAAAACTATGGTATACAAAAAAAAACAGTTACGAATTATTGTTATAATGTTACTTTTCATTTCCAACGTAAAAATTGTCAGTCTATTATATATTCCACCACCAATTAGTATAACTACGATTATTTAGCAATTATTATTGATATGGAAATGATTTAATTAAAAGTTTATTTATAAAAAATCAAGAATAAATAAAATATATACATAAAAATATATACCTACATTTTTATTTTGCTGTTAATAAACATTTTTACTTGTTTCTCTACGACTCTACGTTTTGATAAATTCATCATCAAAAGTTTGTCAATGCAATAAATTACCTCATTAAACTTTTTTTAATGCAAGACTGAGCAACATTGTAAATTTTTATCGATTTAAAGATTCATATTACACACAGTTCAAACTGAAAGTTTGACAGCACATTCACTCCTGTACTGTTATTTTCATTATGTTGTACACTTATTACTTAAAAATATTTTCTTTTTCATATTAATGTGCATCTAAGAAAAGTAAAAGTCTAAATGCATCTTTAATTTAATGGCCGATTCACACAAAAAGTGTCTTTACTAATGTCAGTCAAAACAAATTTAATCACATCAATAATGACAAAAATCATTATGTTTGCTACCCTATGTTAAATACGTTGTTAATTTTAATTATTTTTTGCTACCTGAGGTAAACATTTATTTGAAAAAATAATTTTTGGTTGCCACCTTAAAATGATCCATTGCAACGACCACTTCGATGCACATAAATATGAAAACGAATATAACTATTATTGCAAAATGCAATAATAACTAAAACTCCATATACAAAACAGTGTAGGTTTTGAAAAAACAAGAAATAAATTTTTACAAAAAAAAATTGTTATCTCATATAGTTTTTTAGTTGTGTACCGTATAACAATAATTTTACGGAATTAAAGAGTAATAGATATGCAAACAATAATAGGAAGCAAGATACATTTTATACGTAGGCATAGTAACAACAAATTGTTCCGATTCGTCGCTGTATAGTTCGTCTTTCTCTTACTTCAACAAACCCTATTGATTGCACTGTTTTTCAATTATTATTCAAAACAAAATGTTTTAAATTTTGATGTACATTTTCTCGTGAAAATCTGTTTTAGTAAAGTAAAAGATTAATTTAGAAATGTGAGTCAAGTCAATAGTTGTAAAATAAATTTAGTGGATACCTTCTTGTTATTTGTAACCGTTTTTATTAAATTCAAAATGAAAGCCATGCGTTTTCTTCTCTATTATCTCTGTAATTTCTTTATCTCGTTGAGTCACAGATGGCGGAAACTAAATCATTCCTTCCGGGTATATTAAAAGAAATCTAAAATTGAACAGTCTCTCTCCGACTTAACCTTACAAGTCCTTATATAAAGATGATGTGAAATATTAAACCGAGTCAGAGTAACAAAAGTGCCAAGTCGTCCAGACAATTTCATTGTTAAAATATAGTCAGTGTGCGAGCGGTCGATGATGAAACGTGGCGGTTTTGAGGGAAACCGCTCGCGACAATGCCATGTAATCCTAAAACAAACTGAAAAATATTTAAATTACACGTCGCTTCCATTTCCCACCAACTAATGCGACCAGATGACATTTAATGGAAGGATAAACTGGAACTTCCGCATGACCATTTACAAACGCGCGTTTTTCCACTTCGAACGTTTCTTATTTCAACTGCCTTATCAGTACTTGTACCAATTCACATGCAAATCGCCGACTATTACCGGCCAACCTGACGAATATTACAATGATTGCTTGGCACGTCGCAGGATTTGTTGTTTAAAAGCAAGGATAGGATTCGGGTGTTTCCTGGCGCACAGAGTCGGTCTTCCGGCAGCATTGTCCTGAATTTATGTCCTGGCCGAGTATATTGTCCTGCTCCACTGTCTGTCTAGTGCACATACAATGGCCGCATTGCAGCACCGAGACTTGCCTCTCCGGCCCCTCGGACACATGTATTATTTAATATGGTCGCACGCAGAATAGCCTGATGGACTAACAGATACGTCCTAGACGTATGGTGTTATCAGGCAACACTGAACGCGCCATTTCATACCAGATAATTCGTATTCAAATAGGGTCGACAAGTAAAGCGTTGGCCACACAAGTACACAACTCAACTGTATAGAATTAAATTAAAAACTATTTTTTGATCACAAGAAAATGGTTTGTATTTAATCTTTAAATTTGATTTATCTGAAAACTGGAGTGTAGAACCTGTAGATATTTGTCGCTGTTATTCGGAGACAGCTGTACCTTTTTAAAAATCTCTGCTCCGTTGAGACAGTTTGTAGCAAGAAATGTGAGCTTGCGTATGCTGAAAATAAAATTTCAGATTCTGTGCACGCTTGAAATCCCTGCGTGCCAATCTGTACAGAGCGACTGACTCAGTACCTGTACATCCTACTCTCATGGGGCATCTCCTGTTTTAACACTGTCGCTTTTTAAGATTCCCCTGCTTTAGTCAACAGAATTAGTGCAGGAGCCCCTAGCCACTTCTTCAAATAATACTGTTGAAATGTATGCAAAACGCTTAACGTTTTTCAATTTTTTATACACCTTTGAACAGAATATTAAATTTTATTACAGTTTTGTTTAGATAGTAGATGTTAGGAGTAAAAGTTACTGTGGTGGTTATGCAACACAAATTACGTGTTACTGCTGTACTAAACGAGACTCGCTAAATCATCATTTCTTTTTATGGCATGGCTTTGCTGAATGAGTTAATTAAAATGGAAGAGGTTTTTATTTCATATTTTATTATTTACATTAGAAAACTTTTTATATTTATCTGTAATAAAGCAAATTATTTAAATTGATACCGAGTAAATAGCAAAGTGTTTGATATTTGACAAATAAATAATTTAAATGTGTTAACAATCCCGCACAATTAACAATTTAGTGTACAGTTAGTGTACAGAAAGGTCATGGAACTACAGGTTTCAATCAATGTCTTCACTTGGCAGTTTACTTATTTGAAAGACGTTTACCTGAATAGTTTATTGCATGACAAAGGTAATAAAAGTTCATAGTCTTGTTGACGTAAACCTTTCTAAACTTTCAAATCTGTGAAGTAGAAAAAGAAAAAGATCACAAAAAAAACTTATTTCGAATAAAATCGTTCTGAAAAAAAAACTCCTGGAAGAACTCGATGA